GAAGTTACTTGAACAATTGTGAGTCGAGCAGAACTCAACGAGCGTCACAAGAATAACAAAGGAGCCTAAGCTCTGATAACATCTAACAAAACGTAATCAACACAAAATCTTCACAACATCATCATTTCATTTGCTATGAAAGTATGAAACAGATGGTTTTACATCAACAGATTACAACTCAAAACTCTCTACACAATCACTCACACTCATGTTTCTAATCTATCACAATTTACACAAGAACATGATATACGAACAAACCCTAAACAGAAACCCTAATATGAAGTTGAGAGAGAGAACTGATGATACAAATGAAAATATCTCGACTCTAGTGATAAATGAACCCAACTAACACATTATATACATCGAGTCACTTAACCATCGGGTATGATCCAGCAACCCGCGTGTATACCCGACAACCTGCACACAATATTCACAACACACCCCGACAAATATACAAGAATACACCTTTTACCCAATAATCTATAAATTAATGTTTAAGTTTGTAAATGATTATCAACAACTCCTTTCAACACAAAGAAAGAAGCTTTGGTTGAGATAGTTGGAGCTATTGCAAATGCCATCAAACATCTTAGAAAAAGTGTACATTTGGCGCTTGATGATGCGGATTTGGGAGCAGACACGATCAAATGGAACAAAAAGTTTCATGATTTGGTGGATAAATGCCTTATGGAGTTGACATCTAAGGCACAAGTTTGTTTAACCAAATCACAAATCACACGATACACATGCATGTCTCGGAGTTAGAGGTGTTGTTGAAGAGTGTCGTTTAACAAAAAATGTTATTATTATTGTTATTATTTTTTCATTTGTTATGGATTGAACTATTACATATTGTCTAAATTTCAAGTGGATTGAAGTATTGGACTATTTTAAGATCAAACATTTTTACACACTTATTTTTGCAAATTTTTTTGGATAAATCCTTATATAATTCTAAGATAGATCCTTAATTTTTTTTATATGTAAAATATAATATATTTATTTTTATTAGGTGGATCCTAGGAGCCACCTACTCTCTAGTTGCCTTGGTCATTATTAATAAATCATCATGCCATAAGATTTGAATTTTAACTTAGACACTTGATTAAAATGAAAAAATATAAATACTTCGGTTACTATTTGTTCGTTTCTTAATTTGGATTGATATGGGATTCTTGAAGAAATTGGTGGTTTGATTTGTGAAAGAAAATTAATAAATCGGTGTAAGCATTGGTTTACTACAAAAATCTATATCCACTTCATGGGTATACAACCAATGTTTAAAAGCCGGATTTTTAGTTGATCCAACCCCTATTAAAACGAGTTTTAGCATTCGCTACTTGCATAGTTTTAGCATTCGCTACTTGCATCCAACCCCTATTAAAACGAGTCAATCTGGTTTTAACCGGTTCAACATAACGGTTCGACCGCAGTTTAGGGGAAACCCGGCCGGTTCATTCGGTCCGTATTTTTACAAAAAACCGTTCTTAATTGACCCGCTTTCTACCCCGGGTCACGGTCCAACCGGTCGAACCGTCCAGATTGACCCGGGTTTTAAAACATTTTATACAACTGGTCTTCAAAAATATATTTCAAAAACAATATATGAAAACTTATTTCTTAACATAATTTACCATGATTGACAATTTTCCTCGAATTTGACAATGCGCGGGAGGTGTAGGTGCAATAGCACCGATTTTTTATATGTAGGTTGGCTTTACCAAATACCCACAATTCAACCAAGTATCTGTTAGAAGAAAACATGTTCTGTGTATATAGCATTAGTAAGAACAAGGTGAACTTTTACATGATGATTTACTTATGAAAAATTAATAAAGTACACGTAATGTTTATCATGCATACAAACCTCTAACACTTATTTTCCCCCAGAAAAATGGAATCAGCTTTCCACATCATGAAGAACAAACTGTGCAACTTTTGATCTTACCTCTGGTGGAACACGAATTGGGCGATAGTTTTTGTCAAGCCAAACTAAGGTCGACCGTGCCTCCAAAATTGGCTACACCAAGAAAACAACCATTGAAGGGCTTTTTTGTCTTTTAACACCTTAGCAACAAGCCAAATAAACTAAGAATATATAAAAGTCTGTAACCTCTTCATCTGGGATCTTCGTGATCAAGTGTTGAAAGTATACACGAGCAGCTGATGTGTGAGATATCCTCACTCTCATAGTAAACCTATCTCCAATCTGTTTTCACCACAACAATACCATCAAAGAAACTATTAATTAAGGGTAGTTGAAATTTGAAAATAAGTTTCGAATTATCAAAAATATAAATACATACTTTCAAAGGTCCAAGAAATTTGAGTGATAAGTCAGACAGAGCTATCGCATTGCCAGTTTCAGCAATTGTATCGATGTTTATGCCAATCTTTTGCAAAAGTTCACGACGAGCTGTTTAACAATTGTCAAGATAGTAACTTTTTAATCTCATTAAATAATTAATTGAATTATGTGAATTAATAAAGACCGACCATGTTGACAATAATTAGCAAAGATTGCATTGTTCACAACTCCATATCGATCCAATTCGTAATCATTAACCCTGAGTTGAATCTCATGAAACTGACTCATTCTGTAAAAGGATTAGCAACAAAAATGGATTCAATCTACCAACAGAATATTATTCATATGCACATTAAATTTCGAAAGCAAACAGTGGCAATTAAAGAAACTGTAATTGACAAAGCAACAACTAAGGAAACTGTAGGCTAAATAATAGGATCAGTTTAGTAATTACCCTTTGCCACCTTTGAGATCAAAGGAAAAATTGGCTGAGCTCCGAATAGGCGTTGGCAGCCGCCGGTTGTTTGTCCGGCGAAGTAAGTGAACATTTGATGATGGAAGGTGGAGGCCGACGGCGGATGACGTCTTGACACGTGAGGTGGGAATGATCACGTGCCCCTGGGAGAAGATTGCCTGCGACTGCGTTTTTATCATCGAAGGACTGATGTTTTTCGGTGATCAAGTCTACTAAGTCTTATAAGGTGGTAGCCAAATATACAGATACCACCCTTACTCTTTACCAAAATTTATCAATCACCCCTTGTCAAATCAATAAGTACTATTCACAGTTGAGATATAAGGTAATACGTAATAGGCTAATAGCCAAAGTTTGGATTTTTTTTTCCTCATTTTTTTTAGTACGCCTTTTTAGTTCAGCTGTGGATGTAAACTAAGTGAATATACTGAGTAATTTAAGAGTAAATTAGATTGTTTTTTTATTATTTTTTTCTTTGAAGTTATTATATCTAATTGTTGAATGGTTTTGTGTTCAGCTTTATATATTTGAGGGTACGCATTGTGATGCGGTTTATCAGATGGAAGGTTGTGTTGATGAGGATTGAGGAGCCGTAAAGAATATTGTACAATGAAAAGTGATAAAGATGACATAATTTCTTCATACATTGCATTGAAAATATGATAGTCATTTAAAAAAATATGAGATTTAAATCAGATTGGACACTTCGTACGAATTACTGTGGATTAGAAAGAACGGGAGGGACGTCTACTTTACGATATGAATAAGAGGTTGATATAAGAAGGATGATGTTTTTTCAGTTCAATCCTCTGATGTTATTTTTTTACTATTTTTTTTTGTTGTTTTTTTTATTTTATTTTATTTTATTTTATTTTATTATTATTATTATTATTATTATTATTATTATAAATTTCCATATAAAATTCTGACAATATTTTAAAATTCGGATGAAATTTTAAAATTCAGGCGACATAATAAAATTCAAACGACTATATAAAACGGAACAAAAGCAAAATTTGTCTTTATTTATCACTGATATATTAATTGATTCAGTATGACATTTGTGTGGTGCGTTATGTGGATTGAAAACAAACTTTACTTTTGTTCCGTTTTATATATTCATTCGAATTTTATAATATCATCCGAATTTATAATGTTGTTCGAATTTTAAAATGTCATCTGAATTTATATGGTTATCGAAATTAATAATAATAATAATAATAATAATAATAATAATAATAATAATAATAACAAAAAACAACAAAACACAAAAAGAGAAAAAAAATGGTATCAAATCAAAAGTAAAAAATTGATTACATTGATGTTAGAGGGGGGATAAAAATTAGTTAAGAGTAGAGCTGATAATTCTTGATACGATCACGACACGATACATAATAATTGAGTTTGTGCTGAGTTTTTCAACCTGCCAACCCGTTTATTAAATAGGTGATATATAAGTTTCTCAAAAAATAAACGGGTTGACCTACTAACCTCTTTATATTTTTAATAAAAAAAATATTTTATTTTTAAATGTATTTATGTATGGAGTATTAATATTTAATAAGTATTATATAATATATATCATTAATTCATAGAGAAGAAAATGGTGTTGAAGTTCATCGTAACAAAGAAAATGGTGTTGTAGAATTGATTTTGTTTTTTGGGAGAAAAAAAATGAGAATTGTGGCTATTACTTTAGCACTTTAATTATCTAGGTTTGTACTAATGTTAAGTTTGAAGATGTCTTTATGGATGTTTTTAATTTTTATTTGGATGTTTAAGACTTAGGTGTTTAAAATTCGGATATGTTTGCATCAACCCTCAATAATTAATTCATGTTTAATTGTCAATTTTATTTATGAAATCTGACCGACGAATTCAAATCTGACGCACGAACCCGCCAACCTATGAACTCGTATAAATAAATGGGTTGACGGGTCATATATGTGTTTATGTTTCAAACCCGTCAACCTGTGATCTGTATATTTAAATGAGTCGTGTTTGGGTTGGTATATTTTGACGCGCTAACCCGCGACACGCCAACCCAAACACGACATGATTGTCAAGCCTAGTTAAGAGAGATACTTATAGCACAATCCTATAAGAAATACAATTATTTTTAATTAGATTTTAAAAGTTACAAAAATATGATTTAAAAAAAAAAAAAACTAAATTTTATAATAAAAGATAAATAAATAAATGAAAATACGCTATAATCGGAAATTGATATGCGTCTTCGACCCCTTTTGGCTTGAATCCTCCTCTAGGGTTTTTGGGATTTGAGGTTACCATCTGTTTCATTTTCAGATCGTATCACCTGGCGTCGTCAATTCACTATAATTCACTTAATCCAGCCATGGATGCTCGGAAGAGAGGGAGACCTCAATCTAATGCCAATAGCGTTGCAGAGAAATCCAAGTCAGGTTAGTTGTTTTTTCTTCCAGAAAACACACACAAACACACATACATGTGTATATGTTTGAGTATGAATCTATCCGAGTTCCCGTTACAATTGGTATTACAGTTCCATCTGTCTGTGTTCCTACTTCATCATATATATCTTTTTCGTTCAAATTTCTTTTTTCACTCCCGGAATTTTGTTTGGGAACTTCATGATCGCCGTTGAATTTAGTGATATTTCTCTTAGAGGATAAAGTTGCTTAATTGGAATACTTAACCTAATCCAATGGACCAATTAATTCGTGGTGATGCTAAATGGGACAATGTAACATAGCTGGTTGATTGTAAAGCTCATATAACACAACAACAAGATTGGGGTTCGTATTTCATCCCAATTGCCTCCATTAGGCTTTTGAGAGCTGTCTTTCCAATGCAAGTATTAGGATCATAAATGAATTTTCTTTGATGATTATATTCAAATGGTAAAGGGATGTTGTTTCTCAATATCAATCATATGCTTATTACTGTTTTTTTAATTAGTGGCTCTCAATTCACAATCTATATAAAAGATTTATTTATGTTTATAGGTATGACAAGTCAAAGTAGAAATTATCGTGCTTGGACAAATATTGAAGAAACCAAACTCGTAGAGGCTTTAGTAATTATGGTGAATACAGGAGGATTTAGAGCAGATCAAGGCTTCAAGTCTGGATATTTAACTCACCTTGAACATTTATTAAAAAAATCAATGCCAAATTCTGGTATTTTAGGTAAACCACATATAGAATCAAAGATAAAAGTGATGAAAAGAGATTGGCAAGCTGTACATGACATGTTAAATAGCTCACACACTAGTGGATTCAGTTATGACACTGTAAAACATTGCATGATTGCAGATGATCAAGTTTGGGAATCATATCTTCAGGTAAAATAAATTACTACAATATTTTCTTATGTTAGAGACTCTTTGATTTGTCTCTTATATGAATAGGTTCATAAAGGGGCATCAAAATGGAGAAACAAAACATTCCCTTACTATGAAAAACTGTGTGTAGTTTTTGGAAAAGATCGGGTTGAAGGAAATACAGTTAGAGATTTAGTTGAAATGGAAGAGGAGGCAAACATAGAAGAACAAACACAACATTTGGGTAATGATTCCAATGACATGACATCTAGTCATATTCCACCTATGAATGTGAATAATATGCAATATGAAGAAACTTCAAGTGTGCGTAATAATAAGAGAAAAGGGAGAGTGGATCTTATGGTTAAGGGATTTAATGATGCGGTTACATGTCTTGCAGACACTATGGGGAAAATAGCAAATACAATTAATAAAGATATTGAAAGAGAAGAGGAACTTGATAAGAAACGTTGTATGATTACTTGTGAGATTTCGAAAATGGAGTCGTTGATTCGATCGGAAAAGTTTAAAGCAATTACGAAAATACGAGAGGAGGATGAAAGGGTGAATATTTTTTGGGATTTGCAAGAAACGGAAAGAGAGGATTATGTGAAATGGGTTTTGGAAGAATGAAGGGAATTGGTGATTAAATATGTAATTAAACATTGTTGATTTAGGTTATTGGTTAGTTTACAAATTATAATTGAGGAAGTGGGATTTGTAAGTATTTGTTCATAGTATATACTTAGTTTTATTTTGTGTCTAGTATTCATTCATTTGTGAACTGATCTATGATTCTGTTGTAGCATTGATGGCTGAATAACATGATACCTTCATACTATGATTCAAACTAGATGGGAATTAGATGTGTGTCTGTGTGTGTTTTTCCTAATTTTTATGTTGTAGCAAACGATAGAACAACAAACTACTATCAAAACTGGGATCTTCAACAACTTGTTTAATAAAAAAAAAATATTGTTGATAAAGTAAATTTCATGAGTGCCCTTGTGTTATTTTTCTGTGACCTTTTTGTCATCTTGTTCGGTGGGTGTTACCTATGTGATCTCAATATAAATCCAATCTCACAATCCTTATAACTATCATCAATCCATGTTTGAAAGGTAAAGTTTGCATTGTCACGACTTTACCAATGAAGTTTAATTTTGGAGAAATTTAATGTTACCGTAGGATTCCAGAATCTGAGTGCACCACCCTATAACCAATGAGTAAGAATCACAAATGAGATTGAATATCCAAAATTTGTAGAACAGTGAATGTTACTTTTGATGACTGTGAGAATTCCTAGGAAATGAATAGAATAAGAACAATTAATATACAATCTAAAAATATTAGTTTCTACATATATAAAAATATGTAGCTATTGATCTCAAATGACCAACATTCCTAAAAGAAAACAATAAATTTTATGGATTCACTTGTACAAAGAAAATAAAATAGAAGTTTACCGTCAAATTTTCAATTATACCGTATCCCCAAATCAAACTATTCGAACGCAACTTGGATCTAGTTCAAGACCAAACTAATAACTAATAGTTGAAAAATTTTCAACAGTAAAATCGGGTTGACCTAGTGGTTCAATCGGTTGACCCATGATCCATCCGTCAAACCGGATCAAATAAAAATCGTTTTTTAAAGTGATTAGCACTTCGAATGCAGTACCTGGAGCAAACTGTAAGGGTATTTTGGTCATGTCAACATGATACAACCAAAAGGCGTTTATTAACTCTTAGCTTTCACCTGAAAACCGGTGATCTTTTTGTGGCGCGACTTCTTTTTGTTCTGCAGGTTAACTCACTTTTCCGCTGTAATTTATTTTCGGAAAAATAAATAAAAGTTAGCAACACTTGAAAACAGGGAAAAAAAATTTAAAAATAAAAAAATAGCACAGAGAAATATAAGTACCAGTTATGTCATATAAACAACAGCTCCCTTTGTAGGAACCAACTAATGCAACCTTCATGAATCAAGAAAAATATTTTTTAGACAAAAATACGAATCCATAAATATTATAAAAAATGGTCAACTTTGTATGTCAACCTGACCGTCTGGTGTATAGCAAGCAGCAGTGATCATTTCATGCATATCATTCCAATGAACGACCTGATGATCATGATCAGGAATACTCCAAATCCGGACTTTCGGATCAAGTGATCCACTAATGAAGCATCTCTCATCAACAGGATTGAATTGGATGCAAGTTACTGTATTAAAAAGATACACCCTTAGTAATCATACTTCATAAAGAGAGATATATACACAATAATACATATATAAACTTACTTGTTTATATGTATTTACTTACCATAGTCATTGTGTGAAAAGATCTTCAAACATGACTTGCTAGACAACTGCCACAACCGTACAATTTTGTCCATTAAAAATGACATCAAATTGTGTGATTTGGACCAGGACAGATCAAGAACATCATCCAGATGCCCAAAGAAAACTTGAATCTTTCAACTTCTCAGGAGTTGGGTTAGAATTAGAAGATGACTTAACTGATGTAAACTGGGAAATATCGTCAAATGAGAGAGCAGGCGACAATGATGAAGACAGATGGTCTAAGTGGTGACAGATGAACGTAGATCGAATTAAACATAAATAAAAATTAAAAGCAAATCAAAATCAAAAAAGGTCTAACTTTAACATATATGATCAATACCAATACTAATTGTATAAATAGAATCCAAACTAAAATTAACTTGAATAATACATGTGTCTCAAATATAGCATAACCAGCATTGATAGCTTCCCACATAATTGTCCTATCCTTTTCTTCATCTTGTCTCACAAATAACAGGATCAATGTTTTCAGATCAAATTTTCAACAAATGCACTTTATCTGTCCCTGTGGCTTTCTAATACCCTGAAACAACTGCTCGATTTAGGCAAACTCCTATATCACATATAGCTTTAAAATTGATAAGATGTTGTGGAACTTTTGATGCAGTTGTCAAATTTCATCAAACATATTCACAGAAGAAGACCAAATCATCCAATTTTATGCATATATTTAGTTATTATAAACTAATTTATGCATTTTTTTGACAATATCGTTTCTTAAATAATAATGACCCTTATTAGAGAAAAAATGCAAACACAATGACCATTTGCTATTTCTCTATGTTTTTATAATCATTTAGATTTGTAAAATAAAAGTTCAATACATATCGATTGAAGGCAAATGGGCAACTAGCTGCGCCGCTAGCCCTTTCTGGATGGCAAAACCAATTCTTTTGAAAACAACATTTGTGGATCTAGGAGATATGACATTAGAATGCATAACCCGTTGGAATCTATTTATGAGCTCCACCACCTCTGGTGCGAGAAAACCAAATGTATCGAATGCAAAATGAACAAACACATGCTGATTTTCTCTACATGCAATCTCGTGCTTTACCACTTTGCACGCAACGGCTTTCAAAGCGGCATGCCCAGTTGTGAAACCCCCGCTCCCCAAACCAACGAAAGGAGAGACCCCAGTAAGATCCACGCACACATTCTTACCTCCTATCCATCCAAAGACCAAAATGTCAGCCGGTCTAAGTGTGGACCTGCCATCCTGCGGGTCCGTTAAAAAATTCACTAGCGCTTCTTTCTTCACAGAAATACCAACTGCCGACAAGCATCAAAGAGAACATCCTGAACCACATCATGTCTATACTTGAAACCAAGGAGCTCTCTACAATGAACCGCGTGTTCCCCAAAGGTATCCAAACATGCCTTGCGACAAACTGGGCATATCTCGTCTATTGGGAATATGAGAATCATGAGGCGATAACAAAGGATAGTTCGGTACTTCACAGGAGACATATGTTGGCCAAGACCATCAATAGGGATAGTTAGCAGAAAATCCTGAGCATGAGGCGCCCGCAGACACTCAAAGACTGCTTTCTTTCTGACAGTCATGTCGACGTCGACTTCCATATCTTGGACGATTTTGCTAAAAAGGGCACACACCAAAGCTTTTTGGGATTTAGGGCGAGGGAGCGGTATCCTTATTAGTGAAACCGCTACATTCAAATCCCGGAATCGTATCGCGAAGACGAGTCATAGCACATAGGTAATTTGAGTCCATACCATATATGCCACTATCACGTAAGATGTGGTCTTGTATTGCCCAAGATTGGGCCCTCGAGGCTACAAATGCCTAGAAGGAAACCTCGTAGGCCGAGTACAAACCCAAACTACCGAAACGAATAGGTAAGGAAGCCAAGCGCCACTGAATGTCTCCAAAGAAGGGGCCTCCACATACCACCATATCCTTGATAGACCTGCGCAATACTTTGTCAAAGAATAACACTGCCTCTTCTATGTGTACCGGCTAGCATGTCCTTAAACCAAAGAAAAGTTTTGCAATGCCCATACATTATAGAAGCAAAAGGATCTCACTTTGCGGTTCACATAGTTGTGGAAGAAGGCCCATCAAATCAACAACATTGACCACTTTCTTCAAGGCCAGTCCGCTAATAAACCTCGCGTCTCTGCTAACAGCCCCCCCAAGGAGCTTCACCCCAAAGAAGGTCTCCCTATATCCGTTGGCACTAAATCGGCACAAAGCTTCCTACCATCACATGAGGGCCAAAAAATCTTTGTTTTCTTGATGTTCAACTTAAGACCCAAACGTGGACTATGCAACCGAATTATGTTGAACACTCTAGCCACCTCCTTTGAATCCCCAATGACAGTCCCATCATCTAGATACCAAGCATGGAGAAGGAACTTACAATTGTCTCTAATATTGTGCACAAGCGGGTGCAAAACGAGGGCAAAAAGAAGAGGGCCCAAGGGGTCACCTTGCTGCACCCCAGTGGCAGACCATATATGTTGGTCTCCGATATAAAGTCTCGCTGCTTGCCCGTACAAGAAATTCACCCACAAAGAAATAGAAGGGCACATCTTCTTAACCTCGTGGAGCAATGCTGGTCGATCCACCAGGTTAAAGGCATTCGAAAAATCCACAGTCAACATTACAAGAGACCAATCAGCATGATGTTCACTCAACACCCTATTGGAACTGTGTAACACAGCCTCAGCACTGCCAGATACACCAACCCCGAACTGAAAATCATTAAGGTACTTGGACATTTCTTTACCCACACCTTTCATGGCAACCTTGGAAACTAGACGTCTCCATATATTGCCTACTGCAATCGGAAGGATCCCGTTGTCAGGTTTAAGTAGGGGCGTGAGAGGAGCGGATGCAACAAACTCTACCAAAATGGTTGGACATCTTCCCGCTAACCATAAATTAACAACTGAAGTGATAGCATGTATGAGATCTGTGGCAATAGCAGACCCTTCTCCACAAAGGGCGTCTAGTAAGTGTTGAGCCCTCAAGCCATCTCTCCCGCAAGAAGTTCCTTTAAGGAAGGATTTGATGCAACCAAATACACAGTCAAAGTCTACTACAAGGGGAGGTTCAGAAATTATGGGGCTCGGCATGGATGGGGGTGGTATGAAAGGGTGTTTGTCCTCCAAAGCTTTAATAGTATCACCATTATATGGTGCAACACCCGATGAACATAACACTTTCACTATTGAGGTAAAATGACCATCTGCAACCTTACGGAGACACTGGCTGATGTTGGTGTTACTTGAGTAGTCTCTTTTTGAAGGATGCCTTCACCCTGTCTCATAGCTCCAACCTCTGGATTGTTTAACATATTTTGATTTAACTTCGTGATACCACCCTCTTTCCCCCATGTATTCAAGGACTTCATGATGGAGCTTTGCTGTAAAGATTTTCTATTCCCAGACCTACATTCTTGTCTATTTTTGGGTCTAAACACCTATAGTGTGCATCGAGTTGAAGTAACAAACACATCCATGCCTCAACAGAGCCAGGTTG